CCACGTATTTACGATAAACGATTATTAGGTAGTGCTTTATATTATTTTTGATAAATATTGTATTTTGTATTTATTAGTTTTTTTAACTAAACTATTCCTTATTGTTATACTAGAAATGCTATACCAGTGCTTAATTTTTTTAAGACATACTGGTTTATGGGAACAAATGTGGGAAACAACACGTTTAAATCTCATATTGAATCTTAATTTGAATAGAGATAGCTTGGTTTTTAAAAAAATTATTGACGAAAAGAAGCTAAGTAAGTTGATTCATCGTTATAATTATAAAAGTAAACTTATTCAAAGATTATCTAATTTTATAAATATTTTCAGTTGGAATGGAAGAAGTTGTACTAATGTCAAGATTACCGTTAAATCAATTATGGTTAAGAACAGAATTGTTAAGAGAAAATTGTCATTGGATTAGTGTTAGCAAAGAAGAATTAGAATTAGTTGGAGATTCCCGTAGATTCGTCATACCGGAAGATGTTGCTGATTTTGTACATCCAATAATTAGTCGTGATTCGAATTTTCGTATGGCAATTTATAGTCTTTTAGTTTTAAAAGTACCATTGTTACCAACAAGAGATTGCATGTTGAAGGTAAGGCAAATCATAATTGCACATTAAAATAATGTTTCTGATATGCGTTGAAATGAATTTTTGCACTTATAGGATCTAGGTTTGAAAGAATTTTCATGGGGTGTGGATTCTTCAGAAGTATTATTTCCATTTGCATATCCAATAGTAGGAGAGATGGCTGGTCATAAAAAAAGGAAAGCTTTGATACATGGAATACTCGAAGGACATTTAATATCTGGACCTCAATATCTTAAATTTCATCCTGCACAAGAACCATACTTAGATTTTATACGTGAAACATTTCATACAATCGCTGATAGTTTATCGTCCCTTGAACGTAGTAATATATACGTATGGTGGTTGAGATTTGAAAGATTACTTGTTTTTCTTAACAAAGATGATCCTTTAAAATACGATAATAAGTGAGTTAATGATGATGATATATATCTTACATTTTTTATTACAATTATATGAATATTTTTTACAGAGGGAAAAAAATGAAATCTATGTTGAAAGAATTTTTGAAGAAAGATGTTAACAGAAATAACTTACATTTTTATAAAGAATATGCTTTAATAGAACGAGAAATGGGTAAATTTGAAAGCTGTATTAATATTTTAGAGACAGCTATACAATCTAATTGTACTCTGTCTATAATATCAGATCCCGAAGAAAAGGCTGCTTTATTTAATTTATACAGGACACTTTTTGAAACTTTATTAAATACTGAGACGTATAAAGAAGCACACAAAGAAAAGATATTGAATGTCATTAAGCATATGATACCGGAATCAACTGACAATCAATTATTACTTGTCGAGAAATACTTGAAAGATTCTGTCAATGATTTTTTGAAGATAGAACATAAGAGTGAAAATAAAGATACATTTTTCTTATCAAATATATATTGTGATGTAATCGTATGTTATACGTTATTTTTGTATGTAAAAGATAGTAATATCAATGAAATAATCAATATATATAAATGTTGTATAGAAAATTGCAAAGAATTATCCCATTTACAGGTATATATTTGATTTTTTTTCCCTTGTTATATTCACTTGTTCTTTCATTACTATCATAATAATTTTTTATTTATTGCAGGAAATGTTATATGAAAGTGAGCTTGCAATTTTACAATTGCATTATGAAAATTTTCCTGATGTGAATAATAATGTAAATAAAACGTTGGACAATATGTTAGAATTATATCCGGATAACTTTTATGCGCTGTCTATTTATGCCAATAAACAGGTAAGTTTAAAAATTAGCAAATTGATGTAACCTAATATAAGTAATACAAATTTCTTTTTAGAGTGAATTGCCAAGTTGGAAATTTAACAATAAAAAATCAGATCTAACGATTTGGAAAGCTTTATCCTTGTGTTTAGCTGGACGTAAGCGAACACAATTTTTAATGCAGCTTGGTCATGATGCAGCTTATGCGTCGCTTAACAAATTATTATCGCTTCATAGAATATTTGCAAGGTATAATTTCTCTTAAAATTTTCTTGAAAAAGAATTATATTCTTATATTTATATGATAATTGATTTATTATATACTCTTATGTTGTTTTATTTTTTCTAAGAACACCAGAAATAAAATCCTGTCCACTCTTATGGAGAATATACATGCTTCTTCTTCGAGAGTATAATTTGTGCGAGAAAAAAGGAGAAGAAGTTTATCATGAAAGTGTAGTATTGTGTCCTTGGGCGAGAAGTATTTATATCGATGCGGCTGAAGTCGCACCGCAACTTTTAACGCAAATACAAGATGTGATACGTGAAAAAGAATTACGAATGCACGTTACACCAGAAGAATTAAATATTTTACGTGGCCATTTATAAGAGATAATTAGTCATATTTTTTTTCTTTTTAATACATAAAAAAAAAAGCTTGTGTAAATAATATAAATAATACTTTCGTAAGTAATGTAATAAATAAATTCTAATATTGTAAAAATAATAGAGTATACAAACAAGAATATCATCAATTCGATTAACCTTTTTCTATCAGTAAACATGCGCTTTCGTAGTATTTCAAGAAGCATCTTTTAAGCTAAACCAATAGTTTCCTAAAAACTTTAAAATATTTCAAAAAATATAATAATATTAGTTATACACTTATTAGTAAGTTAATTAAAGCTAATAAAAATCTTAAGAATAAACAAAGATTATAACCTAGTATGGAAATATATTTGTTTTGTTTACAAATTAAAAATATACGTCAAGTATAACCTAACAATTGACATTTAATCTTGCATTTAGAATACATAATTATTATTTGTCATAGCATTATTGAATTTTTGACATTCTTATATTATATCTTTGTTAATAATTTATTTAAAATGACTAACCTTAAATTAAATTAAAATGTAATTATATGAAAGAACTTATTTTTAGATTTTATAGAGAAATGGATTTAAAAGCTGTAGTCGTCTCAGGAGAAGCATCAGAATCAGATGATGATACTGCTAATGTCATTACGGTATGTTGATTCTTATAGTATTATAAATAATTTAAAATATTATATATTATATATGCTAAACATATATAAATTTTGTTATTGCAGGGTATAGGATTTCCCTCCGTGCATACACCACATTATTGTGGTACAATTGTCACTGGCGAAGCTCCTGAATCTGATGAAGGTAATACGAATAATCATTTTGTACATAATAAATGAATAATGTATCATCTTTATAGACGTTACAAGTTTGAGCAGTATCAGTGGAGCGGTTGATGCAATGACTTGTCCACCATACACGGAAATAAAAACACTGAAGTCTAAAAAAAGCAGCGTTAAGTATAACAGCTTGCTCCATAAAAAATTACGTAAGTAATAGAAAGAATCTTTTATTTGATAAGACTGAATAATTAATGATATTATTATAATTACATTAATTTGATGTATTATATAGGTTTTGGTTACAGAATGAATGTAAAACAGATGCTTTTAATAACATCATATTTCATCAATATTATAGTAGTACAATACGCATCCCTATAGCTAAAACACATTATTTTATATAATATTCTTTATGCAGAAACATTTTTTATTGATAATGCAAGTTGTTTCTTTATTTATTTCTTTCTTTCTTTCTTTCTTTCTAAAGTAAGAATTTCATGGATTGATGAGATCCACTTTATTTAGCACCTAAAATTTCTTTTCCTCTCAAGCAGAACATTATCCTGTTATATACTTTAAATTTATAGATAGCATTAATGATATAATGTTTATTTATAAAGAGAAAAAATTATTTTTTTTGTATGACATATTATCTATATTAAATAATAATAACAATGATGTAATGTAAATTAAGAAAAGGAACTATTCTATTGCCTTTGTGTTTTATATAGGTGAATGTAATGAAACATTGGATAAAGACATAATTCAAATGACAGAAGGAACAGTTGTTAACGGTGTTCAAGAACTATCAACTGTCAATAAACAATTATTAAGAAGTGAACTTGTCTTACAAGAGGCGGTTTGTCAATTACGTAATGCTTCTATTAAATCTAAGAACGCATCTAATGCTCTGTATGAACTTATAAATAACCAGTTTTTACATTCTATTAAAACATAACTTATTTATTTATTAACCGTTTGAATCCCAAACAGCATGATTGCACTATTCAAATTTCTTATCGAAAAGTGCCACAATATTGAAATGCAATGTGCAATTGATACATGTTTGTGCCACTTGGCATTTGACATGATTTTTCTAAAGACCACTGGAACTCAAATGGTTAATATATATTCTTGTTAATAAAATTTATTCATAGTAATATTATAGACTGAAGATGATCATAATAATAATAATAAAGTTATTAAAAATAAAAATGTTATTATTACAAAAGAATCATTATTAAATATAATGCATTGAGCACTAATGTGCGTTACTTATAATTGGCAGTCTATTCAATATTAACTAACGTACCTGAGAATTTCAGGCATAAATATAATGTTCCTTTTAATTTATTAGAAAATGAATAATTCTAAGTTACACAAAAAATGCAATTTGTGGTTTTTAGTCATGTATATATATGTATATGTATATATGTATACATATTTATTTATATATATTACCAAGTAATAAATATCCTTATGCTGATCGTTGCACTTTCTAATTTCGCATGACATAAATTAGACGTTTATTTTTAAGGGTAACAATGTAAACACTAAAGTTCTACATATGTATGTTAAGATATATATATATATATATATATATATATATAGATATATAAGATATATATATATATCAAAGAATGTCACGATATTTAAATACGGAGTACCTGTAAAGAGTAGACATGCACATCGTATTTACTGTTCTCTTCCTTATTTCTTTCTTTTTTAGTATTTAGCGCAATTCAACTTTATATATATATATATATATATATATATATATATATATATATAACGTAATGTGAATGCAACGCATAATTTAATTGTAATAGTAACAATTTGTTTTTAAATATTTTAAAATCATTTTGCTTATTACAAATGAAGAACAGTTAGTATCATGAATTTAATTTATTGATTGTGCATATGTATAATCTTTTCAGGAACACCCGTCTATTTTCTTTATTTTCTGCTGATTTTTTTATCAAATGCACAACTTCATTTGGTATCAAAGGATTGATATTGTTTTTTTTTCTTTTTCCTAACACATCACTACATCTAGTGTTTAATGAATTGGTGATTTTAATGGGGATGCAATCTGTTTTCCTATAAATTCAGTCTTAAATATTCCATCAATCTTCGTTGAACATAAGTTCAGTTATGGATATATCTACATAAAATACAATAAGTAAAACATATCTTGTGCTGATACTGATATGATAACATCGTGACGGAATACCTTCTTTGACATCGTAATTTTTTTTCTTATCAAATATGTTCAGATTATTTAATGGCTAAGTACTTTTATATATTTTGTATTATAATCATATTTTGTATTAAAGCAATTCCATATGCCACATACTAAAATCAACATATGTTCAAAGTATCTCTTTCTACTTTTGAGTTAATTATATTTATATATATAATATTATATATATGTCTATAAATACTAACTAACAAAAAACGTAAGATAAAATCTGATCTAATTAATACAATAATTAACTCATGAGATATATATAAGCAAACATTTCTTTATCTCTTTGGTTAATATTATAAATTTGATCATTTTGGACTGAATAGATTACTTCAAATACTTCATAAATCATTTTTAGTCAGAAATAGAGAATAATTTGTCTATCTGTACGTATTTCTTTTTATCATCATCTCACTTTCTTCAAAACAACCCTGACAAACAGGTTTTTTTATATGGAAAAGAATTTTGAATCCTTAATCCATAAAGTATTTTTTGCTGCAGAAGTGCAAAGAATAATCTTTTACTTGCAGTAGAATAATCTTTTACTTGCTCCGATCGAGGCTGGCAAATTTAAATATTTAATGGGCTCAATTCCAAAGGAGGATTAATGTTTGTTGTAATTGGCGACCTTTGTAAAAAATACGACGCCTAACTCGATACATATTAGCCAATGTGAGGGCGCCCACCCCCCACATGGCCTACGCTCGCTCCATCTCTCCTCCACTCGCATAAATCTGAAGAAGAGCCATAGACTCCTGTGCTTGTCGTTTCTCTGCAAGGAATCTACCTGATGCTTCCTTTAATTGCTCCAAGAAAATCCTATAATATAACAAAACAAAAGAGAACATAAGAAATGTTTACGATAAGGAACACCACTATTATATGTTTACAAAATTAAACGCAAACCTGTCAGGTACAATATCAGCTAAGCTATCAGGATCCATATCACTAAGCAGCTCTAAATCATTTCCACCGAGTAGTGAAATGTGTGATGGATCATCGTGTAACGATGAAACCAATGGCTCTATTGGTGGACGTCGACGTCTGATTTCGGTGCTTCTTGAAGTGCCTTCCATGTTGTCCACATCATCTACGACAATGTAGCGAGAAGCGGTTTTGCTGCTACCCGCTGCAATCCATTTCTGATCTCCATATAAAACCATTAGACTGGTATTCCTTTCCAATGTTGCAAAATATTCTTCATCATCTACCTCGGTTCCTAAATGCAAAGTCAACCAAACCTTAAGAACCGTTAAAAATAAATCTAAATTTAGAAAAAGATTTAAAAATATACTCTCTATCCAATAACAATGTATTCTTACCATCTTGTTCTAACACGATAGTAAGATTTGCATCTGGTGGTAAAGCCAAGCGACTTCGAGCTATATTAGTCAAATCTTTCAAAGAGGAGGCAGTGATACCCTTCCTTCTTTCCCTTGCATGATCAACTATTTTATATGGATTACCCAATCCTTGTACTATCCCTGGTGTTTCTGACATGTTGCTTCAAAATGTAAATAATAGATTCAATATAATTTCTTTAAACACACGTTCTCAAAAAAATGACCTTATATCAAAAATTTTTCAATAACGAATAAAACCAACTATGATGGAGCAAAAATTCACTTCTTTTTTTTTTTCTTTATTTTATTTTATTTTATTTTTAAATTGACACTGTTAAGGCCTGATTCTCGTTGCACACTAGTCGGACAATGCACTCGTATCCTTGAATGAAATGTAATCGAGCTTATTACATTTGCATAATACTAATCAACTGATTACAAATATTTATTATAGAAACGTTGTTATATTAAAACACTACATATACATACATATATATATATATGTATGTATATATATATATATATATATATATAATTATATTGATGTGGTAGAAATAAAAAAGTCGTATGTGGTTTTTTAAACGAAAGTACGAAAAAGGGCAGTGTTTTAGGATTGTATCGGATATATAAATTTGATCTTTTTGCGAATTTGCCTATGGTATTAGCGCAATTCATATATGAACGAATTAAAAAAATGTAGAAGACCGTAATGTTTAATGATAACGCCTGAATGAGTGAGTGAACTGACTGTGTGTCAACTCAACACTGGGTCAATGGTGCAACTACCCCTCCTATTTATACTCCTTGCAGACTCCTACGTATATACATACATCCGAGAGACACCCCCAACCATATTCCGAACCAACATGGCATCTAGACAGAAATCAATAACCTACCCTACACTAGCATACATTTTTTTCACTTCAACCGGACAAACTATATTAACGTTTATGGATGAAACTTTAATAAATATTATTATCTAAGCATTGTGCTAATTAAATAATAAATATTCCCTCTTGTATACATTTAAATAATTTGCCATGATGGTACTAATGCTAGATCATCGCTAATTTAAAAAATAATAAATAAAAAATAATTTTGTATATATCCCTCTCTCTCTCTTCTTATATTTATCTACGAACCCATTAAATATACCGATAAAAACTTTCTACTTTCGATTATATTTATAATGTTAACAATCGAATATTACTGTTGACAAATTTTTATTATTTATACTTCCGTACTTGTATTCCAGATAATATGTATTTATCCAATTTTATATGAATCAAATTATCAATTAATCAATTTATGATATATTTTCAAACATATTTTAAATCTTGAATATAAGGAACAATATTTGTATTTATACTTATCTCAAAGCTTGAGTTAGTACCAGTAAATTAATAGTAATTGAAATTATTTTAATAGATCAAAACAACATTTCACTCTCAGTATATACAAATATTGTAATTTTATTATAAATATATTTTTATACAACAAAATATATATATATATTTTTAAACAGATTTTAAAAGTCAGATTTAGAAAAGTTAAAAGTATCATTTATTTTTAGATTGGGTGTCAAATTTGACTAGGACTTGTGAACTTAGGACACGGCACTGCAACTAAATTTAGACCAACAAGACTAGATACTGTTTTAAGATTAAAGTTAGCCCAGGCTTAGCTCAGTTGAGGCTCTTAAATGAGCCATAAGCCGTATCCGGATGGAAGGAATTAAATTTAATTGAAATATTCTATAAAAATAAAAATAAAAGGAAAGAAAAAAAAATGCCAAGTGTTAACAAAGAATCAGATGATAGTCAAACTTGGGAGTTAGCCGAAAGATGTTTATTACCAATCGCATTTTCACATGCCGTTGCAGTTATTCTAGCAACAATATTAAATATTTTTGGTATTTCGCAAACATCTAGTTTTGCATTGTTCTTACTTTTGTTGGTAATATCAGTGAGTTCAACATTATTTTATCATAATTTAAAGGTAAGTTATAAATACAACGTTTATATATAACGGAGATGTATCATCAAATAATATGTCGCATTCAAAATAATTATTATTTCAAACAAATTTATAATATCTTCAATTTATTCTCATTAAAATCTAACTTACGTAATAAATCTATCTGACAGTAAATATATAAAATTATCCAAATGGGTGAAACAAATTTTTATTTTAGAGTAGCAATGTATTAAAAAACTTTGCCATTAAAACCTTTGACCTTTTTTGTGTAATATTAAATTAAACGCTATTCTCATTGGAATACTTCATAAAGGGCTTTTCTTTTTGTATCTGCATTTGTATACTCATGATAGAACAATGCAGTCTTAGAATTTCTCATATGTGCACGTTTAAAATAATATACAATACTACAAAATTATTATTTGTGAAATTATATACACAACAGGTTACTACGGCAGGAAAGGCTGTTCTTGTAACTGGATGCGATTCAAGAGTTGGATATACTTTGGCTAAACAATTGGATGACTTGGTATGATATTACGCTTATCATTAGTAATACTCTATTTAATATATCATTTTGTTATTACAGGGTTTCACAGTTTTTGCTGGATTTAGTAATAAAGATGAAGCAGAAGAAACAATGAAAAAATTAAAACAAGAAGCATCAGGAAGATTACATGTATTGCAACTCGATATTACTAGTGAACATGATATACATTCGACCTTTCTGTATGTGAATGAAAATTTACCGGATGAAGCACCAGGTAAGTTTTTTAATTTTTCTTATAATTAGATTTAAAATAAAATAAAATAAAACAATTAAATTCTATATTTGATTAAACAATGGAACAAATAAGGATTATGGGCATTGGTACATGCAGCAGCATGGGTAACATTAGGTGAATGTGAATGGGTACCTCCCTCAGTCTTAAAACGAAGTATAGATATTAACTTTATTGGTCTTGCCCGATTGACACAGGTAATCAAATATTAATCCACATTTATAATATAAATATCTTTTAATATATAAATGAGATCGTTGTCAAAATAGGTATTTTTACCATTGGTCAGAAGATCAAGAGGACGTGTTGTAATAGTGAGTAGCCTCTTAGCTCGTATACCAAGTCCCGTGAGAGGCATTTATTGTGCAGTTAAGGTAAAGTTACGAATACATTTTACTAATTAAAATAAGAATTAAACTTAATTTAAAATTAATTGACATATAATATTTGTAAAACGTTTAGGCTGCTATCGAGGCATGGGGTTCTTGTCTTCGATTAGAAATGCGAAGATGGGGAGTTGATGTAGTGATTGTAGAAACTGGAGAATACGTGTCTGGTAATGCTTGGTTAAAAGACAATAATTCGTTATTAGAACAAGCTCGAGATATGTGGATGCAACTTGATCCTCAAACACGTAAAGAATATGGGGAAGAATTATTCCAAAAGGAAATGTTAGCACTTGAAAAATATACGCAAGGACCCGAAGCGGATTTAACGTCAGTTAGCAGAGCTTTGACAGACAGCATAATGAAAACATTTCCAATGCAAAGGTATGCTCCAGTATCACGTCAAGAACGAATGCACGCCTTATGCAGTGATTATCTTCCAAAACCAATTTACAATATTTTGTACAACAATTAATACCAGGGGTCCTTGTCACGTTGTGTTAACCTATGAAGTTATTTCACAAAATTATATCCAAATGCTTTTTCTATACATTCTATGTTACATTAATGAGCTTTGTTAGCAAGAGATGTTGTCATATGATTATCTTAAACTTAGAACACTGCCTAATTAGATGAAAGAACAATGTTAAGATATCCATGTTTTGTATTTATTGTGATTAATGGTCTCGGTGAGAAATTATATGTAACGGGTTGATTTTGATGGTTTGTATCAAAGCAAGAAAAATTATAAATGTAATCCAATAAAGTATATCAAAATAATGTATCAGATATTTAGTTTGTCAAAAAAATTGTTTCAGATTTTCTTTATCAACTACAACAAATGAATATCTGAAAATATTACAAACCAAACAATGACTTGCAAAATTTCACACTTCACAAATCTTCTATTAGAGCTTTCTTAACATTTATAAGAAAAATACAATGGAATAAAAGTCAAAGCAAGTATAGTAAAAGAAAACAATCACTAGTTTCCATCCCTAGAATATATTTCGGCAAATCTCTAAGTCCCTAGAAAATCGTGGAGATTTAATCTCTAGGGATTACTTCGGAATGTTGCTTCAAAGAAGGCGAAGAAGGATGGAAATAATAAACGCTAGGCGTGGCGGCGTCATTTTTCAAGCTTTGTCGAAGTCTTTCTATCAGAAAATAAGTGCACTTAGTATTATTTAAACGTTCAGACCAAATAATAAGTCATACAAATTCGAACAATCAAGATGTTTAAATGTGGACATTTACGGACGGAAAAGAATCCAAGGATTCTATGATAATAATGATGATGATGATGTGTCATTTGAGAATTTTGAAGATAAAGCTCTGAATAATTGAATTATCAGCTACAAAAGTCATTTCTGTAAATGTGCCTGTCGTTTATTGTTCACGTTGGAAGGTGCAGGGAAGAATACTCGTATGGAGTAATAATGCAAGAGCGGTAACCTATACTAGGGAATGGAGACGGAGAGCGTAAAATCAGGGGCTAGCGAGCATAGCCATAGCCAGCAAAGCAGATCTTCGCAAAAACACCATAAAGTATACAATAACAGTAGCAAAACTCATCATCGACAACATTCTCATAGAACAACTACAAGGTACCTTGACAATATCTATCTTAATCTGCTTTTATTTTTCGCTATTAGAGGCGCTGTAGTCGAGGTTAAACTCTGTAGGATTCGATCCCGGTCCTCGACAAAACCAAGCGCTAATCAGCGCTTCATATCAATTATACTGTTATCGTGATCATAATATATATATATATATATATATATATATACTATTATATTATTTATTTTATATTATTTTATATTTTATTTTCGAGTATTTCGAATGATTTGTTATATTTTATTATCGTGATTGTTTAAATTATTCGAGCATGAAGTAAGACATGTGTGATATTAAATGGTACGTTTATATCTAGATTTTCATTCAATGTTGAACTGTGTCAAGATATAGTTTGATAACATGCAAACTATCACATAGATTTTATCTAAAATTATTTCTATGTTAAATGTCAACGATACATTTTGATATTTTTATATTAGAACAGATCTACATGTCAGTTTTGTCATTAATTTGTGGATAAAAATTGTACGTCAATTATTTACTTTGAAATGTAGACTAATTTGTTTGATTAAATCAAGTATAACTCTTAGCTTCTGTTTTATTATAAAGGTGTTCTTAAATTAAATTTATGATCAATAATTGTTTGATATCTAATATATGTATTGAGGTATATCATTTAATTCAGATGTAAGCGTACCATAATTTTAAATAATTTATAATTTTATTCTATGTTTGATTCTTTATTTTAATTAGGAGTAGTCGAAGTCAGAGAAAGGAAAGACATAATATAAATACAAACGAAATGGCTCCTTTTCAAACTACAGTTAATGTACGTGGGGATAGTGTGGATAACTTAGGTCCTGAGGTTATCGAAGTACAAATATTACCTCAAGATGAAAATTGGGGAGAAAATACAACAGCAGTAACTGGAAATACATCAGACAGGTCAGAATCGACAGAGGATGTAAGTCATTGGCCAAGCGAAACTGACACTTCTTTTGGATCTGCCTGTAATCGACATATAGTTCCAATAGTAGCTGTGTTCCTTGGAATATGCGCTTTTTTAAGTCCCATAGCAATGGTCATATTACCTAAATTAGGATTTTTTCCTGATACAACAACCGTACTAACAATGCAACAAAAATTACAATTACTTTCGTGCAATGCAGAATGCAAAGGGCAATTGTTAGGATTAGCCTTTAAATTAGTACTATTAGTTATTGGAAGTTGGGCTGTATTTCTACGCCCACGAAGTGTTACTATGCCGCGTGTATTTTTATTCAGAGCTGGTGTCTTACTTCTTACAATGCTGTGCATTTGTACTTATTGGTTGTTTTATGTTGTTCAGGTATGCTGTTGTTTAGTTTTATATATATTGTTGTATAAATTATTATAATTAAAATGATGATTTAATTATATTAACTTAATATAATGTATCATTTTAGATCACAGAAAGTGCTAAAACTGCTGCTAATGGTGAAATAACAGAGTACAAAAGTTTAGTAAATTATGCGGGTACTCTTGCAAATACATTACTATTCATTCACTATGTTGGCGTGCTGCTTATAGAAGTTCGTCATTCTCAGCCAACGTTTTATGTTAAGGTATATAAAAAATTCATGAATTTATAATTGCTGCTATATTTATTATCATTACATTGGATACTTTAATTGAATATTTTATTACAGGTGGTGAGATCTCCAGATGGTGAATCGAGATCTTATGCGATAGGACAATTATCGATACAAAGAGCAGCAGTATGGGTATTAGAAAGGTATTATACAGATTTTCCTATTTACAATCCATATCTGGAGCGTTTGCCTGTATCTAAATCAAGTCGAAAACAATCAAGTTTCAAATTTTATGACGTTGACGGAGGTGTTTCAAGTGGTGTTCAGTCGCGCGGAGGTAGTGGTGATACGGCAGTATTAGCTGCGCAAGCTAGACGTAGAGATTCTAGCCATAATGGTCGTTTTTACGAAGAACATGATTATGAGAGAAGAGTACGCAAACGAAAGGCGAGATTAATTACTGCTGCGGAAGAAGCATTTGCTCATATTAAACGATTACATTCTGAAGTCGAATCTGCACCTGGTCCTGGTTCTTTGGATCCTATGGAAGCTGCCCAAGCAGTGTTTCCATCTATGGCGAGAGCTTTGCAAAAATATTTAAGAGTTACCCGCCAACAACCTCGTCATTCCGTTGAATCAATATTAAATCGTTTTGCAAGATGTTTAGCACAAGATGCAGCACCTCGAGCATTCTTAGAGCCATTTTTTACAACAAGTCCTGTTCTTTCGAACGAAAAGGAAAGACAAAAAGGTTCACATCATTGGGCTTTAATTTGCGAAGGTGAATTGCCATCACGACCTCTTGCAAATGGTTGTGAATTTCAATTGAGACAAGGTGAGATTGCACTTTTGTGCACGGCATATCGATTACCGAATTTTCATCTTACCGAACAATTGGCACATCCTAAGTCTAATAAATTTTTATTGAGGTTGAATTCCGAAACTTCTGTGTAGTAGTACTGACAATTTTTTAGACATCCTATTACAAGGTGCTTATCATACTAGTGGATGTGAATTTGCATAAATTTTTAAAAGCATAAAAATGCACAAATTTTAAAACATAATATTTAAAAGACAAAAATTAAAGTATATGAACAATTTGATTGTCATGAATTAAAAAACTAAGTTTTATTTTTAAAAGTAACAGTTATCAAACAAATTGATAATATTTTTTATTTTCAAGACCATAAAAGCTTAATTAATATATATTTTATTACGTAAATATATATGCATACACTTTTTTGCATAAGCAATTTCATATATTATTTGCATTTATTGATGGTATAAAAATACAATACTCACTTTTAATTATCTATTTACTTTTATTTTTTTTTTACATCACTATTTATAAATATCTTTTATACAAAGTTTTATATGTTAAACTTATATTAATTTACTCAATTATTATATTCAGTTAATCCATAAGTTATTCGTTGAAGATTTTTTTTTATATTTAGGCATTTTCAAATCATTTTTTTATCAATTTATATAAGAAACATATTTTACGAATACGTTGTATGAAATCGTGTACATGTGGATTAATATTAGTATGAAAGCACTTTTCTTTTTACTCGAGCAAACATTGCTCGGAAATAAATTAAATATGGATGATTTGTATAAATATATAAAATATAATTAAAAGTAGACTTCTGTAAACTAGTTAATTTATATTTAATATAATAGACTTTCTTTTCTATAAAAGTATCGTAAGCAAAGTATTATTGTCATTTTAAATCGATAAGTTTAATTGAATCACTAAATTTAATTAGTTCTATAAGTAAAAATAATTTTTGAACAAATTAAAAGTATTTCTTTAAGGCTAAACTGTCGAATCACGATGAAATTAGTTTAATAACGACAATAATAATTTCATTTAATATGCATGACATTTTTTTCTTTTTAAATTATATTAAGAACATTTTTGTAAACTTTCTTTTTTTACTTTAGTACCTTAAATATTCTTGTGAGTTGTGATTAGACATTATAGTAACTTATTCTTTATTGTATATGCATAAATGGAATTTGAAAAGCCAAATGTATTATGAACATTTTAAATACTCCATGACTAATGGTATAGTATTCTCATACCAGATATATGCTAACATAAGCAAGTGTTTAAACTTGCACTTTTTTATTCGTGGCTTTCATGTGTTGAATTTTAAGCAACATATGATTTTCATAAGACTGGTGAATCATATTTAAAAAAAAAAACATCTCATATATCTATTCATACAAAATATATTTAATAAAAAAAATATCAAAAATGAGATAAGACATGTAAATAAAAAGCAGAAATCTATTTCATGCTTCAGTTCAATGCTTTTGTATATATTCGTATATACACAAGTTTATAACATTTGGATTATATAAACCTAGATATAGGCAAAGAATTTTTTATACGAACGAAAAAAATTATATTATCCCTAACGGATATGTGTTTTGCATTCCAAACAAACGCGATAAATAATTTTCCTAATCGAAGAGGAAAAAATATCTTTGTTAATAGTATAATTCAATATTTTAAGCATTTTACATCTCTTAGTGCGAATTAGAAATGACGCTATTTTTACAATAACATATCACAATTAATTCAGTAATGTTATAAAATATTATTATATCGCTTGCCTCATGTTGTTCATTAATTGTATTATGAATAAGATCGTATAAATTATTACGAATATTTTAGACTGTACTTAAATAAAAGAAAAAAAGAAAGAAACAAGAACTACTTAAGTTTGTAAGCTTGTGTTCTTCGTGCATTTGTGAATATGTTGTGTATGGAAAGAATTTTTTTATACAATTAATTATTTTATTTATGTGTGAGCGTGGTGATTGTGTATCGATAAATGATGAAATATACATTTGATGTACAGATGCCTGGAACAATTTATTTGGACCTATCTCGGTGTTACTAAATTTTTTTTTTAACTAGAAGGTAATTTAAATAGATAAAAATAAAAAATAGAATATTTACTTTTAGACAAGATTTTGTATGTGTATGTATGTAAAATAATTTTAAAGACAATTAAAAATATGCAATAACTGTATAGAAAACATTAAAATTTGAGACTCTTCCTGTTATTTGTCCACTATTATTTACCGAATTCTGATATGGGTATATAAAATTGTTTTGATTACGTTGTGAAAATATTTAAGAAATATATGAAACAAATTTATGTATTAGGATAAAAGAAAATTGGATCCAAAATGCTATGAATGCTTAAAAACTTTGTTAGAAAATTGTTGTAAATATTATAATATAATATCCATTGATCATGAATATTATATTGTATATATGAATTTGATTTGTAAAAAGATTGAATTTGGAGTGCAAAATCTATTACTATTTGAATAAAATGGCTGGTATCAATGAATACGACAAACGTGACGTTAACGTCAAATTTTGAAAATAATGCTTTGTTCTAAACACAATTAACAAAGTTGGTCACCATGAAAATGCATCATAATTTGTGCATGTGTTCAAGATAGTTATATAGGTTAGGAAACTCAACTAAGTTAGTTCGGTTTCTTTGAATTGTGGTTAGATCTCCTAATATGGCTAGCGAAAAAAAATCAGGCAAAACATCTTCGAAAAGTGGAAAATCTAATGAAGAGGTTTTCGCTGGATTTCAAACGCTTCGAAATGAACAAAGATTAATGGCCAGTAAATTGTCCGAAATGGAAATGGAATTAAATGAACATAAGTATGATCTTTAACCTATTGTTTACGAAATGCAATGCATTTAAAGAAATTATAGATCTAGGTATAGTTATATCTCACATTAATTGATATAACAAATGATTCTTTTAGAATTGTTATCGATACTTTAAAAAACGTTGATCCTAAAAGGAAGTGTTATAGAATGATCGGAGGAGTTTTATGTGAGCGTATTGTTGAAGACGTAATGCCTACATTAGTAACAAACAAAGAACAGGTTTGATTATTTAACCGATACATTTTCAATTACTTTGTAATTTATTGTTTTTAGATTCTACATGATACAATAATGCATGAAAAATATATTCTTATATTTGTTATCACATAACTTAAATTTTCTAATATCATTTTTAGTTGACCAAAGTAATAGAAGCTTTGAACGATCAATTAACTAAGAAAGGTATTGAAATAAATGAATACAAGGAAAAGCATAATATCAGAATTCGAGGACAGGACGACTTACAACACCCGGAAGAAGAATCTAAAGAAGCAAAAAGAAATGCTATTGTTGTCAATCCTATTGAGGTTTAAAAGTCGTTAATGTTTTTTCATTTAATTTAAAAACAATGAATAATCTTAAAAATGAACATTTCAATGCTTTAGTCTGCGAACTACCATTAACGTTAAAGATCTCTTACTAAATTAAATATTTAAAAAATCAATGGTAGCGTGTTGTCTTTTTTTTCTAAACTGATAACTCTCTGGCAGTTATAGGCAAATTATTTTTCTTTTATTTTTATAAATATTCAATTTATAAATATAAATATATAAATACAAAAAGAATACTTTCATAGTCAAGCTTTATAAAATATAAAAAATTATTGTACACTTAAATGCTTAGTCATTTATTAAACAAATTAGGATAATGAACTGAATGAAAATATGCTATTTGTAATGATGGAAAATGATAAATTGTAAACAGAAGAAGGAAAATATTTAAATTAATTTGTAATTTATATCAAATAATAATAAAGAAAATATTGCAGCCAAAAGATATAATACGTGTCTAAAAAATAATATTCTTTGTTTTAATCACTTCAATATACATGTATTATTATATTAAAATGTATTTATTCAAAAATGTGCATACACCAATCACTTTCATGTAATCTATTATTATTTTGCCATATTTTATGTTTAATTTGGTAAATAAAATCGATACTTTTATAAAAATAAATTATAATAAATTGAAATAAATCACATAATAAATCATATATTATAAATTACGTACAATAAAGAGAAAATAAATGTTGAAAGGAGTGGGGGAATAGAAGGAGCGAGAGAGAGAGAGAGAGAGAGAGAAATAGGGAAAAACGAGACGCACAATTTACGAACGTTACCATTTCAGCAATTAACTTTTCGGACAAAATATCGAATCGTACCACTCTTACCGATTGTAAACACATGTGCCACCGTTTGACATAGAGCAACAATGTTACTTTTTCAATGATTCTAGAAAATAATTGTGTGGGTATAGTTAAAATACATGTATATATAATAATATATATATATATATAGTGTATTGTAATACGATTTTATTTGTATTGTAATCGATGTAAGTACAAAAATATCGATTAGAAATGTGCATATTTAAATATTAAAATACTATTTGCACATGTCAAAAGGTAGATTCGTCTTAAATGGAGTCAACAAAGTGCAATTAGGCAAACATAAGATTCATACATGACACATTTAACATTTAAAAGTATTGAAGATGTATGTGTTATTTAAAGAAAATTATGATTTTGATGTAAATTACATTCATGTTAAAACGTTAAACAGTGTTATCAATACTAAATTATATTTTGACAATAATTTAATTGAAAGTAATTGTAACAGATTTGTACTGTAAAGTGCAATGTGTTTGAATGGTGTTTTATCAAGACTTTTTTATTATTACACTATGCTTATTTTGATTTTTAAATTATAATATCAATGTAAGGCATTAAACGGATCAAAAATGGAAGCGTGGTGGTTTTCTCGCATTGTTGCACATCATCCATGCGTTATTCTATTGACAGTATTTCTATTTTCTTGTACGTGTTTAATAGCTCCACGTACTATTCAAAGTCTACCAGACTTTTCTGACCCTCAATTGGTGAGTATTATAAATTTTATATATGCATATTACGTTTAGAAATATATATATACATATATTATATTTATTACTGATATTATATACGCGTTTATTATTTCAAGGGTTTTGAAGCGCGGGGTACTATATTAGCGCAAAGACTGACAGCATGGCAAAATTTAATGGAAGCAACAAAGCCTAGAGGAGAATTCACTGATAATCCTTTTGAGTTTAATTATTATTTAGAACAAGTGAAACGACAGGTAATTCTATTATTTTATTTCCTTTCTAAAGAAATATCACAATATGTATATGTATATATATACAAGATGCCAGAGGTTTAACTGGCCAAATAGTGTCAGTGTATTTTGTGCATAAAAATAAGAAAAAAATGTTATACGAACAAGTCATTTAAAGCTTTATTAAAAAGTTGTGACACAAATTCTAAATCACCTAATTTTTTGTTCAAAGTGTAACAAAATAAACATTATTTCTTACAGACTGACTCTATTTCGCAAAATTATAGTTGGGCAAGTCAAGGTATTCTTAGAAAAAAGCCTAAAAGTATGAGCAGAAAAAAAGGGAAAAAATACATGGCAACTACAAATGAAACGGAAAAAGATACAAGTAATGATAATAACAAAGATGAATGGAAAGAATTGTCAGAGTTAAGAAGTAAAAATCAATTTAACATCATAGAATATGACAAAAGTCATAATAATTTAGACAGCGAAAACTTTTTCTGTAATTTACCGAGCCCTGATTATGCTCGTGTAGTTATTGGTAGCACGGATACAGAAGAGAAAAGTTTATGGACCATGGAAGGTGTATTAGCTCAGTGTCATATTGATGCAGCACTTAGAGCAAATCCTCATTTTACTTCATTGTGTCAAGTTCAAGAGGAACATAATGGTATCAAGAGTAATAATAAGTGTTGCAGAAGTTGGTCACCTGCTAATTATGTTGCATTGTTGTCTAATCGGAGTTCCTGTTTGGGAGTGACCGAGAATGATCTCATTCGGGTAGAAGCTTTGTTAAGAAGATGTGCTTATTATTATTATAATTTAGAATTAACTTTTAAATGTGCGGAAGATCCTAATTGTCAGAAACGTGTACGAGCCGAATGTTATCAGCATAACGCAGTTTATCATCTATTACATTATCTTTTAGATTTTAATTTTATTTCAAATGATGTAAGAATTAATTTTTTTTTAATTATATCTCACACCCAATTAGAAATAATAATTTTCTAATGAATTAAATATTTCTTTACAGAAACATCAATTTTTGAACAAGTCGCATTTAGGATTGCAATCTGCGATGTTATTTCTCCCAATGGCAGCCAGTTCAGCCAGTTTAGATTTCTATAAAGAGTTAAACAATAATGGACTAAGTTATGGAAAGTTTAAAGTACAAGGCATGCAATTGGGATTAAAGAGTACATTATTTGATCGTCTTTTGGTATCAAATTTCAGTTTGGTTCTAACAGGATTCGGCTTTGTAACCTTATGCATTTGGATGTACACTGGATCTCTATTGTTAACTATTGCTACATTCTTTGCAGTACTTTTTAGTCTTGGTATTTCATATGCAGTATATACTCTTGTTCTGCAAATTAAATTTTTCCCATTTATGAATTTGCTTGCAATTGTAGTCGCTGTCGGTAAGTTGTTTTTTTAATATTTTTAATTCTACATAAAAAGTTAAATATCTCATAATTGTGTGGTAAATATTATTATTTTTTAAGGAATTGGTGCAGATGATGCATTTATATATTGCAAGGTTTGGGAATGTTGTAAACAACAAAAGCTTTCTAACGATGGATTACCAAGATTAGTACAAGAAACCATGAAGCATGCAATACCATCTATGTTTGTTACTTCATTAACAACAGCAGTAGCATTTTTTGCATCCATTGTCAGTAATGTCACTGCCATTAATTGTTTTAGGTAAGGAAATCTTTACATTGATAAATCATAAATACATTATTTAACGTATATGTCTGAAATCAATAATTGTGCGTGTGTATATAGTTTGTTTTCAGGGATGACCGTGATCGCTAATTTCTTTTTAATGATCACGTGGCTACCGGCATGCGTAGTAGTATCAGAACGTTGTCGAATAACTACTTTGTCGCCTGCAAGTTTTATTACAAGAAAAATAATTCGTCCCGTGCGATTATTTGCAGACAAAATAGCTCTTACATTTAGTACCTTTCTCACCAAAATAGCAATTGGTTTAAGATGGTTTTGGCTTATGAGTTTGGGTGCTTTAGCTATAGCCTGTTGTATAGTAGTTTTTTATAATCCAGGATTACAATTACCAGATACTCCTGACTTTCAATTGTTTGAAAGTTCTCATCCTTTTGAACAATATGACTTAATTTATTCTCGACAATTCTTGTTTGAAAAACGTGAAATGGTAATAATAGATAATATTTATAAATAGATAATATATAATACATATAATCATTTGTATAATAACGCAAACATTATGAATTTATAGATCGATGATGGTGAAGCGTTACCAATGCGATTCGTTTGGGGTATAAAACCAATTGATAATGGTGATTATCTAAATCCTGATAAAAAGGGTAAGCTAGAATTGGATGACTCTTTTGACGTGTCTCATCCAAAATCTCAATTATGGTTACAACAGTTCTGCTATAATCTAAGACTTCAGCCTTTTTATCGAAGTACATTAGGAGCACTTCTTCATAATTGTTTTATTGAATCATTAAAAAAGTGGATGGAAAGACATTGTGAAGATCCTATAAACAAATATAATAATTATTCACCATGTTGTAAGAAAAGTACTTTTCCTTATAAACCAAAGGTATTAAGAAAATGCGCAGCAGAAGCTGCTGCACATCTTTATGACACCCCTTCTTATTTGTGGCATCGAGGTGGTCCTGTCTATGCAGGTCTGAAATTCTTGAAAAAACCAGTACAAATTCCATCGCAAGGAACAAATGCAACGGGATCTTTAAAGTTACCAGTGCCTAAAATAAAGGCATTAGTTATAGAATATAATAGTATATATAACTATAGTCTTTCGTATTCTGATATGGATCAATTCTATAATCAAGTAAGTTTTAAATTAAATATTAAATTTAAGAAGACTTTTAATAATGTATATATATTTTTAGGTTGAAACTTGGATGCAAAAACAATTAAAAACAGCACCTCCAGCCATGCAAGGAGGATGGTTCGTTAGTGAATTGGAATTTTACGAATTACAACGTACATTGCATGAGGGTACTATTTGGGCTATGATCGTCTCGTTGATTTTAGCACTTGCAGTATTAGCATTTGTGACACTGAATCCTTTAGTTAGTATGTATGCAATTATAACTATTGGTGCTGCTATTATAGTTACTGTTGCTGCTTTAATTCTTCTTGGTTGGAAACTTAATGTCCTGGAAAGTGTTGCAGTATCTACTGCCATAGGTAATGTTAATTATACATATTAATTAAATAAATATACATAAAAAGACATATAATAAGATTTTGTTTCTATCAAGGTTTGGCAGTGGATTTCAGTTTACATTATGCTGTGAGTTATCGAGCATGCAACTCGGAACAAAGAAAGGATAAAGTTAAAGCGACACTAAATCAAATGGGTGGTCCAACATTGATGGCAGCATTAACAAGTGGAATTGCTGGTGCTCTCATGTTACCCTCTGATGTATTAGCATATATACAGATTGGTGTATTTCTATTACTTGTAATGGGAATAAGTTGGATTTATGCAACATTATTTTTATGCCCAATGTTAGCAGTTATCGGTCCATCATCGCACTTTGCACAATTTCAATACCCAAGGTAACATTTTAAATATATTAATAAAATAATGCTAAAACAATTTTACTTTACAATCACAGATTGATGTTACAAATTTTAGGGGAAGAAAGTTATTATTTTGTTTCCGTAAAAAAAAATCTGAAGATTTGGCAGAAACAAATAGGGATAGTGGTAAAATAATAAAAAAAGGAAAAGGAAGGGGAATGCTATCGGAATCAACATTAAGTACTTCCAGTACAGTATGTCAATTTCATTGTAGCGAACCAGAAATTCTTATAGCACGGCCTCCCTCTTCATCATTACCACCATCGCCAACCTCTGCATTACTTTACTTAGATAGTAATTAAATCACTTTGTGGAACAATAGGTAAAAACAAATGAACAGTCTTGATTTAATATTTGCAGTAAGAAATCACAAAAAATAATATTATTGATTCACATGTTACATTCATTGTGAACTATATGGAACTATGATCTTATCTAATTAATGTGTCATTGGCTGTGTTCATGTAGTTAATAAGACTGTTATTTATATGTTTATCTTTCGTCAACATTCATTGGGCTTCCTATATTCTTTATGTGATTTACATGTTTACGAAAATGTACGCGCACGATGATAATACATACACACCATACACAAATACATATTACGTATGCATACGTGCATAGATATATATATATATATATATTATCGCATGCAGGTAATAAGAAAGTGCATATAGATCTATTTATCTTTTTGATCTCTATACCATTTATTTTTCATTCTCTAATAAATTTATTCATTCACATGATATATATTTAAAATAGGGTAAATAGATTTCTTTATAAAAAGAATGTGTCACCTGAGAGAAAATTAAAAAGAAAAAATTTATTAATGTTCTGACATATCTGCAACGAAGACAGTATTAATTTACGTTAGTGATGCATTAGATATGATTATAGTACCATTTTATATTATTTATATTTTTCAAACACACACACACACACATACACACATTATTAATCTTACATAGAGAAAGTTCAGGTATATGCATATATATACATACCGGGTCTTTCGCCTAACGCGACCACCTAAAATATTTCATTTATTTCGTATGATAGAAAAAAATATTCTATTCGAAGACGCCGTTGTCTCTTGTACGTGAAAAGATTTTTTGCTTGGGAGTGTCTTACACGTTGATTTGCATTTGTTTCTTCATTTACCGTCCTCCGAACGCGTACTGAAGTTCCTAATAAACATTTCACAATTTTCTCGGTAAAGGTCACCTGAATATTAACATATTGCAAATAGTTGGATTCGTTTTTTTTTTCGCTTTTTTATAAGAATATTGTAGTAAAAATATGCAGTCTCATTTAAAAAAAAAAAAACGATGACGTTGAAATCTCGAGAAAAATAATCTTAAGAAAAAAATTCGGCCCATAACCGCATTGGCGCCTTCAAACAGAATATTTTTTCCCTCTGACATTTTTTTCTATCGAACAAAATAAGCGAGATATTAACAAGTCTAGTGGTCTAGTTAGGTGAAAGACCCTGCCTGTATATGTCGTTCTTATTTAACGATATAGTAATCTTCAGATATATGTTAAAACAACAAAACTTAACTTTATAAATGTTACAATTTCTCCAATCCTTGAATTTATATTTTTTTAACTAACTGTAAGATAATAATGTTATTTAATCTGATAAAAAAGATTTATTAGATCAAAAGACTTATATATATATATAATTTTGTTAATAGCGCTAAATATATTTAACATGTTGATCACACTTACAATTAACTCAAGCCTGGATGATGGCAGCTATGTTTCCGTGAGGACCCCTTAGTTTAAATAAGTTTCCAATTTGCGCTACAGCATGAATTTTGGTCTCATAAGAAAAACATTCGATTTATGCATGGCGATCAATGTGTTAAATAAAAAGGACAAATACTTTCTCTCTCTTTCTCTTTCTCTCTTTCTCTCTTTCTCTTCGACCACAAAACAAATTTTAGCGATAAATGCATGAGAATTGGAGACTATTAATTTATGATTCCAACTATATAGAGAACAAATCGTTCATTTATAAAACGAGTACATAATTAATTTAATAATTTCTTTGAAGAACGTACTTACTTAATTAGTTTTTTATTATAATATTAATGAAATGAGAAAATTGAAATACATTAATATCTAGAAATAAATAATTAAAGCAACAATTTTCGTTCGTCATTTTAATTTGATAAGTAATTATATTGATAATAAAAATAAAATAAGAAATATACATAGTACGAAAGTAGTTGTTGGTAAGAAGATTATTAAATACTGTATTGATACGATTACAATTTTTAAATCATTCAAGTCATCAGATTTGTTAATAAATCCTCAACAATCGATAATCACGTCTCTAACAAAGAGAAAATTTACACTGAACTATTTTTAAAATGTGCCAAAAATATATTAATTAGTGATTTTTATTTTCTGTATTTTTTTTTTTTTAATATATATTTACATACGAATAGTATTTCTACAAAGTTAACTATAAAGTTGTCCCTTTTTTAAAGTAACGTTAACGGCAATAAAAAGAACATTCTATTATATCGAACCTAATAAAGTAAATTACAATAGGAAGAAAATATGTTAAAAAATTGAAACAAAGGCTTCGAACGAATGCTTGTTATCAGTTTTCTTTTATTACGCGGAAAAAAGAATTGAAAAAAATTGATAATTAAATGCGCCGTTGGCGTTTATGATTAAATGGACTAAGTGGTTCAGTAAAAGGACGTTTATCAATTTGACGCAAACAAGAAATATATTTGGGAATGGGTTGAGCGTTATGAACAGTTTGCTTTCTCAAACGAGTCATTTCTTTCTTCTCCAATTTCTTCTCTGTTATAGCAGCCTGTCAATTAAAACAATTCTATGTAAATATATATATTTAAAAGATGATACACACGCGAATGAAGTATATATATAAATACATATGTATGAATAATACAAAAGTGTTTGTTATAATTATCTTTTTAAAAACTAAAACTAATCGCATTTGGCGATTAATTGTCATTTCTTGTAATAAATGTATAATTATGTTAAATGAATGTTTAAGATATACAACATCAAAGAAAAGTTACCAAAGATTTGAGGATCTCCATTTCCTTTTCCTTCTCTTTTAACTTTTCCTCAAAACGTTTTCTTTCTTTAGCTCGAATTGCTGTTAAAAGACGCGGACTTTTGGAGATTTTCAAAATTTTTTTAACAGGACGCGGTAAGAATGGCGGCTTTTTCCAAATCTTTTTTGTGACAAACAAAATTATACATACAGTAAAAGCATGCAAATAAAGTAAAAATATTACGTTTTAAATAATTATAGAGAGAGAGAAATAATGTTATCTATTGTAACGGATATAACATACCTCTGTAGATTTTTTGGTAGATTTTTCGGTATTTATTTTATTTGAATTTTTCGATTTTCCATCAATTGTATGATCAGACTTTGATTTTACAGCTGTTTTAATAGATCTAGCTACAGGTTTTGCTTGAAACACATGTAACTCTTTATCTTCTTTTACATTCTTTGGTAATAAATTTTAAATAAACAATTATAATTATTAGAAAAGAATTTTTTGAAACGATAAACATATATATAAAATATAATATAAAAAATGTATTCTACCTTTTGTTGTTGTTGTTTGCATTTATTTCGTAAATCAAAATTGAAAGGCTGTACAGCGTTATCCACTTTCTGTGATATATTTTTTTTATTTTCATTTGTTGTCGTAGTTGTTTCCTGTTTCACTTTGATACACTGAAATATAATTCGAATAATAATAATAATAATAATAATAATAATTTATTTATTTTCTAAAAAATTAAAATTAAAATTAAATTAAAAATAAATTTATTTAATTAATACTTGTTTTGTCAAATTTTTTTTCTCTTTATCCTTATTAATATTTACATCCAATTGTTTATTTTCTTTCTTCAAAGAAAGATTGTCTAATAATCTGAAAGAGAGAAAATTTATAAATTAAATTTTGTTCGTAAGTTTTATAAGATAAAAATGAGCAAAAGTAATGATTACTTAATTAATTCATTGCGATCATTACAATCACTCGTTTGAGGAAGTTTTTGTGCTTCTGGATTATGCTTCAATGGTTTGTCGTCTTTTTTCGTTTCTTTTAACATAAAGAAATATTTATAATAAAAATAAATATCAAATTATTTTGGACCACAAATGAGAAAGATAATTTAATTAACAATGAAGTTATAATTAATAATAATAAAGGCATAGATAATCGTATACCAAAAAATTCATCAGATATTTCAGGTAAATCAAAAAAGTCTATAAACTGCGGAGAATCTATTTTATCCCATGGATCTAATATTATATTAACACAATCAATCAAATTTTTGAACAATTTATCTTCTTTTTTATTTTTGGGCCACAATTGTCTATTCGTTGGTCTTGATTTAAATCTATAATAAGAAACAGGCGTTTCTGCTTCCATTGTCAATTAAAAGTAATATTTAAAAGAAAACTTTTCGAAAGAAGAGACGAATCCCCATTACAACGTAATTTTCAATAATATTTGCCGTACGCGTTGTTAATTAAAATTCTGAAGGTTGATTCGTAACTGATCAACTAAGAAGGAAAATAAACATGACATTTAAGAAAAACAATATTTCGATATACATAGATCAACTACAATTACTACTACAATTATTTTAACATATGAATATTGAATTAAAATCTATTGAATAAGATTATTTGAATCCTTCAAATGACATTTTATAGTTTTTACATTATCATTTATTGTGCTGTAAAAAATTGTAATTTTAATTTTTATACTTTGAAAGTGCTTACTACTGCATTTTTTAATTCAATTATTTATATACCTTTGAAGGTATTATAAATATTGAAACAATATATTAAAGGGCGCATGTCCACTGATCTATCTTAATAATCTACCATGTATTAGTAAAAGATTCCCATGGATACGAATAGCCAAACATAGCACGTGATAAACGCTATTACTTGCTTTTAACATTATGAAAAGTATTGAGATTATATAAACATATGTATATATTTTAATCATTTAATTTTGAGTAAACATTTACAAAATATATTTGATTAAATTTCAAGATGCACGGATTAAGGTAAGAATAAATCAATCTCTTATATCTAATTCATATATTTAAAAAATCTATTATTTTCAGGGCAGATCATAATTCAGGTGGTGGCCTTGGAACAAGCAGGTGGTTAGAAGCAATTTGGGAACCAAGTGCTAAAATTTATACTCTTCCTGGTGGCGTTGATATGCTTGATGTAATCGGTGATGGAGATGCGCGTCTTATATCCACTGATTTAGGATCCATTAATGCTAATTCGGCAAAGGTATTTATTTCAAATATCAACCCTTTTGATATTACGACTCTCTTCTTCTCTGTTCATAATAAGTAATTGGATATTATCTTTAGATACGTGTTTACAAGGGTAGTGATCAAGTAACAGAGCATAATATGATGGATGCACCCTGTGGAGTTACTGGATTTTATACAGAAAACGGTGAACCCAGATCAGCTGTATTAGCAGCAGGAGCTAGTTCTAGTGTTTATATTTTTAAGAATTTGAGACCATTCTTTAAATATTGTTTACCACACCTCGAAGCCCATCCTAAAGAGCGAGAAGTGTGTCTAAGATTAAAAATAATATACGTGTATACTTTTAATGTATAATTAATATTATTTGCATTGCACGATATATATATACATCTGAGCTTCCTTCAGATATGGCACAAGGCTGGTCTCGACGAAGAATTAAATGTATTAACATTGGCTGATGATCTAGATTCATTGTTGAAAGAACTCGGTGCAACTGCGATATCTCCACGTACATTAAAATTTTTGACGATGGATGTGAATTTACGTATGAGTTTTGCAGAACAATACAGAAGAGTTCCTCTGATTAAAAATAATACTGTTACTGCACTCGGTGTTATCAGAAAAGATTCCTGGAATGATCCTGCTTGTAGTTGCCTTATTATAGGTACAGAAAATAAAGAGATTTTTGTATTGGATCCAAGGTAAAAAAAATGCATCTTAATTTCTTTCATCAGAATCATTTGTATTTTTTCTTTTTTTTTCTTTGCACCTTTAGAGCATTTACCGTCATGGATAAACACCTCTTAAAGTGGCCACCTGTATCTTTTGCAACTACTGGTTTATGGGCAGGCGATGGTCGAATTATGGTAATTGGTAGAGATGGAAATATTGGAGCGATACGAAGAGGAAGTCCTGTTAAACTCTGGGAAAAACTTGAAGCTCCGATCATTGCCGTTTCTGTTCTCAGTGGTGATGGTGCAGCAGTCGCTATTATGGATGGAACGTTATTAGGATTTTCAAAAAAGGTAAAAATTAGAAAAGAAAAATATGTAGCAATGAAAAATATGTATAATCATACATATTATTTTTATAGGGTGTTAAAGTATGGAGCATCAATGTACCAGGTATTATTTTAGACATGGTAAGTTTGCCGGTACCACAAAGTGGACTTTCTTTGCTGGCTGTCAGTACGGTTGGATATGGTGTACGGATATACGATGGTAAACACCATGTTGACACGATTAAAACGATGGAACCTGTGTCTGCAATAAAGGTATATTTTTATCTACTATATTGTATACAATACTGTTATTAATTGGATTTTATTGAGAAAGAGAATGATTTACAGTATGGACGAATGGGACAAGAAGAACGAACAATGGCTATGGTAACAATCAATGGTGGTCTCTGTGTAAAAATATTAAAACGAACTGCTGATTTTAGTATACATAATACAATGTTTTCTGTAACACCAAACAGCATAACCAAATTTGTTATACCGAAAAAGACTCGTCTTTTTGTTGAACAAACAATAAGAGAAAGATCGGAAGCCAAAAAAATTCATAATACTTTTCAGCAAGGATTTTTACGACTACGTTTAATCATCGCCAAAAACGCTGTTGATCTTTTAACTGGTTGTGAAAATACTGGACTTGATCCAATTTCCTTGGAGGCTAATGTCCTTGGTTTAGGACCCAATTATCAAATTCAAATATTGATCACCAATATCTCAGATGGATTATCCGATAATGGATTGTTTATTGTTTGTAGAGGAGAAAATACCGAAGTTGATCCACGTGTTGTCAACTTGCCTTTATTACTCAGCGGTATACCAATCCCGATAACTGTTGATGCTAAATTAACTAATAGAATTTCTGGCAAGGTACAAGTTTTACTTTGCAAAAAAGACAAACCAAAGCCTCTTGCGTTCACTAATGTTATTTTACCAGCTGCTGAAGAAGAGGTCGAAATCTAAAATATATTTTAATTTATTATAATTATATATGTATAAATATCTTTGATCGATGAAGTCACTTTTATTAATTCTAAATATTAATGATCTTTTCTAAAATATAATTTATCATTGATTATAAGTATACATATTGAGTAACAGCAAATATAAGAGTATATTTATAAGTAAAATGATATTATTTTTTACAAAAATATGAAAATATCGAGATAAATCGAACTGAATAGGCGGCAAATGCTGGATTTCAATTAAAATGTTATGTACGCAGCGATAAGGAATTTTATGATGATTGTTTATTTATACTTTAACGGAAATATTTATTATTAAAAAAATAGTCTTTTAACCCCAAGAAAAACGCATTCGATCTACACGCGGTAATCATCGTGACAAAATAATCATAGAAATGTTTTTTTCTGATAAAGATTAAATCACTAAGGAGAGCATCAATGTCCCTAGGAAACCTACCTAACTTTACCTAAGAACACCTACAAGTTTATAAATATGTTAAGTTTACAAAATATTTATAATAAAATCTTTACTCTTTGTTTTACATATGTTTCATTAAACATTAACAATACTTATTACAATCGACGTTTATACAATGACTGTCATGTTTGAAAAATTTGTTTTTTCAATGCAACGTTCCTTTTATTTTTCATTCTTTTTCCAAATATATTTACTATCTTTCCTTCCAGGTATGTTAATTTCCAAAGTCATTAAACATTAATTTTAATATAAACTATGTATGATATATAGAAGATTATATTAATTGATTATAATTTAATTGAACATTTAGGTACATTATGTATAATACCAGAAGCAAGTCAAGAAAGTATACTTCAACCCTTTAAAAGTTATTCAGACGTAGCAATGTTTCATTTTAATGTACCAAAGGAAGTCCTCAGAGCAACATGGCAGTTTGCAGCATTTACGGATCAACCAAATTGTCCACAAAGGAAGGTGCATATGTTAGTGCCTTTCTAATAAGAATATTTTATTTAATTTACTTTAGGATATGATTAAAGTTTTAATAATATTTTATAGACACTTGAGATGGGGTAGTTATCCTGTCCTCCTAATTGATAATATGACAACATTTCCAACAAATATGTATCCGCTTAATAACGATACACTGGTCATTTCAACTAATACTTATTTTGAGCCCAAAAGTGTAGCTGTTGTACCTGTTTACGGACCACAAGCTGGTGATTGGTTTGTTGCCGCATATTTATCTCCTTGGGATAAAAAAGTTCAACAACAAGTATGTTCATAAGTTTTTATTCATTATCCCTAAAAAAAAAGATAATAATATTATAAAATATTTAATTTCATATTTTAGGGCCTTTTTCATAAATGTCATTATAGCATAGGTTCTATAGCTTTATGGGTAGAAGCAAGCGCTATAGAAAATGTACCTGTTGGTTATCAAGCTACATTAAAAACTAAAGAAACGTCTTCTTATTACAAGTGAGTGTATGTACATAATGAATAATTATAGCATGATTAAAATTGGAAAATTATTTATGTAGATATTTTTTAGAATATATGTACCATCTGGAATATCAACTTTACGTGTCTACATTTGGGGGTGTAATTCTACTGTACATTCTTTACGCAATATACGTAAACCTTGTATTAAAAATATAGCCTTACAAGGTCGTGTTTTACCAATATTTAATAATACTCCTCCAAACAATATTGGAAATTTGACTATGCTAGATTCTTATTTGTTTACTATATCTTCCCCATACGAAGATAGTTATTATTACTTATTAATTATCTCAGATAGTATTATAGAATTTAACATCAAAGTTAGTGTTTCAGGTAAATCCTCTGTAATTAATTAAGAATGAACTGAATGTTGAATATAATTCTATTCTATAAAATGAAACTTATTGTTTTAGAATGTCCTATTAAACTAATGGAAAAACAAAATGTAGAACAGTATTCATTGATTACCGAAAAATTTACACAAATATCTGGAACAAATATAAAACAAAATCAAACCGTTGTTTGGAACCATAACAGAAGTTCATTTTATAATCTGATGGATCTACGCACAAATCAGTTTTACGTACAAAAAGAAAATTCTAATCCGGAGGACAAATGTTTCCCAAGATATCAACTTGTCAGAGTTAAACATTCTAAAATATTTTCTACGAGTTATTTATTGCAAGTATGCTTTTAATTTAAATAATGTATACGGGTAAAAGATTTATACAATACAATAATTATACTATGTTATTTGTATATATCATTTTTTTTCTAGGGAAAAGAATGGTTAACTCCGTGGTTGGCTTTAACGGACTCATATCCGATAATAACGCAGTTTAATATTTTACCTTTTGTAGATATCGGAGGTACTCTTGACATTAATATTCATTTAGAAATGTATGAGGTAAGAAACTTTGATATCGTTAAAATTATTGGAAGTCATACTTATATATAAATTATGTAATTAAACATTATCATTACTTTTAATAGACGATGACAAAACAATTAATTGTTGTAACAGTTTGCATTCAAAAAGGTCATGCATCTAATATATTAGAAAATAAAATTATATGTGAAGATGAAAAACTATTTATGAATTTGTCTTCGTCGGATAAACACGATGGAAGTATATTAATACCATATCCACAACCGGACATATGGTATATTTCTTTACAAGCAACATGTTACTTAAATAAGTAAGATCTTATTTTGTATATGTTTGTATAAATATACATATTTGTAGTATAATCATTTTATGTTTAAATAATTCTATTTATAGCCATCCTGTAAATTGTGAAATGGAAGAAATTTTAGTATCGTTGAATGTTCATATAAGACAATGCGTATTTCCTGGTAAAAATTCGTGCGGTCGTCATGGGATTTGCCAAGAAATTCATAGAGATCTTCTTGCCTATACAGCTTGTGACTGTTATGAAGGTAACACTGCTTTATCCCAAAAAGTCAAATATGCAAAAGAAATTTATATTTATTTTAAAAATATAAATTAATAATTATCTATCACGCGTTTTTTTAGGATATAAGGGATGGGGTTGTACCGATATGATTATAACAAATTCTGGAACTTCTGCTACTACAAGAATATTAATGTTAACATTAAGTAATGGATTCTTTATACCAGCTATATATATAGCTATAAAACGAGAATTTTATACAGAAGGATTGATTTACTTATCTACCATGTTATCTTCTGCTCTTTATCATGCCTGTGATCAACATACCACAAATTATTGTATTACTAAATTTGAAGTAAGTTTATTTTTAACTATATATTATTATTTGCCGAAATAATAGGTTATAGAAATAAATTAACTTTGTTTTTTCCTACATAATTATGTAGGTATTACAGTATTGCGACTTTTTTTCAAGCATATTGGCTTTTTGGGTAACACTTGTGGCCATGGCAGAATTACCTATTCATTTAGTATCCTTATGTAATATGTTTGGTGTTCTTCTAATTGCATTTGAAGTGCAATCTAATAGAACAAGTTTTATTAGTATATCAATACCCTTGACAATAGGTATCATAATACCAGTAAGTCAATTAGTACATATCTAATTGTAAATACTGTAATGATACATTTTTATTTATAATATAAATCTTGTAGGTTGGAACATATACATATCGTAGTTACCGTATAAAAAGTTGGAGAAGACCTAATAAATTATCAAAGTTATTAATAGGCTCATTATTAGCAGGAGTAGGTTTTCTGCTTTTTTCTATGATTGAGACAGAAGCGAATTACCAAGTACGTAAACATAATTAATTTCATGATTTTATTTAAATAAATTTTATAAATAATCAATTTATTTGATTACAGTACATCCATAGCATATGGCATATGATAATCGCTATATCTTTATTATTTTTGTTACCGCCTGCACGGACAAAACAATTAAGCAACTCAAATATTAGTTCTTCCAGTGAAGATAATGAGTTGTTAAACTATAAAAACTATCTCGATAGTCCAGTATTTACAGTGATAAATGGGCAAGACAATTTATTAATTGTCTCTAGATAAAAAAAAAAGATAAACTTGCCATTAAAAATTTAATTATAATTACATTATGCCAAAATGATATCATTACTAATGTAAACTAATAAGATCTCTGTTAGCGTAGGAATCTTTTCTGTTTATAACAAGGAAAGTTAAAACATGGTAAAATATTTAAATAGAAAAATTGTGCCTCAGTAAATTACAAATGTGGATATTTTTTTAATAAGGGATCATATATTCATTTGTAAAGTATTTCTATTTTGTATGTTGAATAGAATATATAATTGATTGTGAATAGAAAAAAATACAAAATAAAATAAAAAACATGCAATAGTAGGGATTATAGTATATAGAAAATTTTAACTTTTCTAGTAAAAATTTATTTTATATGAAAGTATGTGCATTATGCTTAATAAAATATATATAAATTATATACATATATAATTTAAAAAT